TACTGTGTCCACCTTCGTTTGATGTCGTCATTTGTCTGTAACATTGTTCCCTCTTGATTTCGTATGACATTTAATCGAGGTACAAATTCTTTTCTTAACATTTTTATGAGGCCATATGCTTCTCTTGTATTTCCAATATTTAGACCTTTTTCAGCTTGCTCGCATTGGTCTTGTATCCAATGTTCTTTGTCCTGTCTTGCTGATCTCTTAACTTTCCTACATAGGCCTTTATATTGTTGTGTATATTCTAGGGAAACGTTTCTTAGTTGTTTTAGTCTGCGTTTTTCGTCAGCTAGTTTTAGTGTCTCTTCAGAAATCCATGGCTTTTTGGTTATTCTTTTTGCAGGTACAGTTGCCTCTACTGTAATTTTGATTGCCTGTTCTATTTTTTTGGCATGTTCTTCCAGACTACATGTTGGCTCTATATCTTTCATTTGTTTCGCTAGAGCAGCGCTGTATGATTGCTTTATTTTCTCATCTTTCAGTCGGTTCACATCAACTCTACAGCATTTCTGTGGTTTGTTGTGCAGTTTTTTAAGTTTCAAGTTGATATTGCACAACACTAGTGAGTGATCTGAGTCTATGTCTGCACTCTGAAATGTTCGACAGTTGGTGACTGAAGTCTTCCATCTTCGCTGGATGAGAATCAAGTCAATCATATTCTTGTGAATGCCATCTGGTGATGCCCAGGTCCATTTTCGATTTGGTTTATGTTCAAATTTTGTATTACATACGTAGAGATCGTGCACTGTCGCAAATTCTAGGAGGCGTTCTCCGCGTTCGTTTCTATCGCCATACCCATATTTTCCCATCACGGATTTCCAATCTGTATTATCATTACCAATTTTAGCGTTCCAATCTCCTGTCAGGATAAGTATATCCTTTTTATCTGTCTTTGTTAATGTTTCCTCAATATCGTTATAGAATGTTTCAATATCTTCTTCTGAAGATGAGGAGGTTGGTGCATATACGTGTATTACTGAAATTTTAAATGGTGCTGCATCGAATCGTGCCGAAATTATTCGTGAGCTGGTTGGATTGTATCCTATTAATGCCTTTTTTGCTTGTGTGCTTAGTAAGAACCCCACACCCCTCATATGTGAGGATTCTTCTCCTGACCAGATGAAATCTCCATTCGGTGTTTCACCTTTTCCTGTCCATCGCACTTCTGAAATACCAATTATGTCGTATTTGAAACGTTTCATTTCATTTCTAAGTAATTCTAGCTTGCCAGCAGTCCATAGTGTCTGCACATTCCATGTTCCTACTGTCAGAGTATTTTTGGCAAGTTTTAGTTTTTGCGTGTTTTTTGTCGTATATGAATTCTTTCCAGTCGCCAATTTTTCGACTCTGCCCTGGTCACTCGACAGAGGACGCGGACCTTGTTTTCCCGGGCGCCGTCCGAGCCGGTATGGTTTCGTGTTGAAGTCGTTCATGGTTGGTTTCTGTCGTCTTGTTCGTTTTACAGACGGTGGTATCTGCACCCCTCCCGTCCAACGCTCCTCCTTTATCCGGACTTGCGACCGGCACAGAAGCCGCTGGATTGCGGTCTCTATGGTGGAGTTGTCTAATCAAATGTCTCCATCAAAATAAGCGAACAGTCTTATAGGATAACTCAACTTCTGCTGTGAAAGAATCCGATCAAAACTGCTCAACAGGTATGTCAATTAGACCACGTATGTGATGCTTTTCAAATATTTTCTTTCAATTGAGTATTTTTTCATAAATTTTTGACATAATTTGAAGATTAATTTAACATAGTGAGATGCGCTCAGATTTCTTTTAGTCAATAAGAATTTTCCGTTATACAATTTCGTGTGCCTCTACGATGGTGTCCATATTTTCCCTTAAACGGTAACCACAGTCATTCAAATCACCTTTTCCGGGCTTTACATGTTTTCTTAGAATTGTGGTGAGATAATATCGAATTTATTTCGACCCAATGTTCTCGATGTTCTATATTACTCTAAGGAGATCACAATCTTAAAAGCTTAAAACACATGCCAACAGATGTCAGACAAATCAAGTTCACAAAAGCACAATTTTTGTAATTGAATCTCCCATAGTTAATTAATGTTTTTTTCATTTGTCTAAGCAGAAAGTCATGAGATACCTAATTCGAGTTCGATTATAAATGAAAACTCAACTGCATAGAATCCTTTCGAAAATAAAAAACGAAGCACTCATGTTTCCAAGGTTAGCATAGCAAAAGATAAAATTTTATTCGAGTTCAAATAAAATTTTATCTTTTGCTTTGGTCGTTAGAAAAGGGGTGTACGTTTGAAATTTTCATTTATATTCGAACTAGAATTAGGCAGCCACTCGTTAAAAAAGCGCTTTTGATTCTCGTAAAAAGATAAAAGGAGAACATGTGTGTTCATTAACGTACAAGTTATTGGAAAAAAGATCCTTCGTTGAAGCTAATCTACAAAAGGTGATTAATCTGAGTGTGTTTGGTTGCTTTCGAAAGCCTTAAAATAAATGTTGAACACCATAGGTAATAGAATCCGTTAAGAAAATTACATGTGCAAATACTTTTTCATAACTGACTTTTCTCTGTTAATATACTTCTTATGCTTTGAACGCGCTGAAACGAGTTAAATCTGCGTGATAAACGTGTTAAAATGCGTAAGTCTGCAGAACTTTAACGCGTTTTAACGTGTTAAGGTTTACTTAATGCGTCTTAACGCTACGTTATGGTTAAAACGCCATTTTACCCGAATATTAACGTGTTTTAATGCGTTATTTTTAGAGTTTCGTCTCACTGGGTAGAGTCTATGACTCATGCCACTCTTCCACTATTTCGGATAGTATATCAAAATCATTTGGAAAGAGAGTGCTTTTTGCCGATAATAAAAAGTTATAGTCTATAGTTTTACGAGCTGGTGTATAAATAACCAGATCGCAAATTAAATTCATTCTGTGAGTTTCGGCCGAGTAGAGCGAGAATTAAGTTTTTCAGCCTCTGATATAAAGTATTTCTTGTCGTCTCCAGCTACGTTAACATTATGAGCAATAATCAAACAGACAGTTTACATAATACGATTAATCATAGATGTGTAATTTTGAGGGTGTGGGTGGGTGTGGGTATAAGTGTGCGGGGTGTGGGGTGTGAATGTGGGTATCAGTCTAATCTCCGTTTGCTGTCACACCCGCACTCTCGTGAAAAATATGCGAGTTATTTCGATGCTGCTCCTCAGAGATGTTTTTCCTCTATAGAAAAAAGACGAATTTCCGAACAATAAATAGTATTGCCGGCATTATTATGAGCAAAGGCCTTCTGTATTAATAGGAAAAATCGAAATATATTGTATTTAAGTGAAAAAAACTTAAGCAATCAATTGCGATGAAAATTTTAGTTTTTTCTCTGCTTCTTCCGATACCTTTCTATTCTTTGAGTAGTCAGCACTTCCATAGATTTGAAATGGTTGAAATGCACTTGATGATAGTAATGGGCCGTAAGCCGTAAGAAGCGTAATACGTTCATTTTCGTATCGTCGTAAATCGCGACAGAACAGAAAAAAAAGTCGTGATATAGACGAATATAATCGTAAAAGCTACGGCAGAACGAAAGAACAAGTATATAATCGACGGCGCAATGAACGTATTACGTCGCTCATACGTTATCATATACGTCGAATATGAGAACAAAACGAAAGAAACTATTTTTGAAATTGATTTCTTATCCCGAAATAAATTTTCTCGAATGTTTTTTTGTAGTATAATAAGTGAGAAAATAATTCATCAGGAAAGCCAGTATAATTATCCTCTTCGTATCTTTAGTATGTCCTAGTGTAATAATCCTATTGACATTTTAATTAAATTATATCAATCTATTAACTGTATTCAAATTTCATACATTTATTTTATCCAAAGCTCCCATGGTTCAATAGTAATAAATAATACAAAAAAATACAACAATACGTACAAATATATCAGACAATAACAATACATTTTTTTTTAACTATTTTTATTTAATAATAGCAAAATATCAGCATTTTCAGGCGTTAATCTCGAACGTCTGTCCGAAGTTAAGTGACCAGTCGTTGAAAACATTTTTTCTGAGGGTGCACTTGTACCAGTAATACATAAATATTTGAATGCTAATTTTGATAATATAGGAAATTTTGTTTTATTAGTATTTCACCATTCGAGAGGATTTTCATTTCGATGAATTTCTCGTTCATTTTCATACATTAATAATTCAGCATCACGACTCTTTGTTGGCGTAATGATATTATTTGTTATCATTATGTCGAATAGATCAAATTCTCTTTTTTTGTTCAGGTCGTTGAACATCTGATTAAGACAAAGTTGAGATGTTTCCAAATAAAATATTAAATTGTTCCTGTAAGAATAAGTATGCCAGGTTATTAGCATCAAATGCTTGTAATTGATTTCATACAACTAATATTTCATTATGACTTTGATATAATGAACGATTAAGGAACGAAAAATCTTTCCAACGTGAATCCGACACTGTACATAATAAAATCTAAAAGAAATATGTCATATAACATCTATCTATTCGTTTCTGTACGTACTAGTTTATCTCCAGAGAGTTCTTCAAATCTTTCTTGGATACTCAAACGTAAATTATCCTTGACTTTCTTCTGAAAAGAAGAATCAGCATCTCGATATTCAAGACTTGTAATCAAAGTTGTAATAACAGGTAAAACAATTGATATTGTTGGTGATGAATCAGATGCTAATTTACGTGTAGCTGCTTCGAAAGGTTCCAATATATTCTAAAATTAAGTAAAGAGTTTTACATAGTTGATTTTACAATAATATCTTACCAATAATTGTTCTAAACCATCCCATTGTAGCACTTTCGAAACTTTAGCATTAATAAATTGTTTTTGAAATAATCTCTCATTTAAACATGCTGTCACGCAAATTTTGTGGAATTCACGTATATTTTCGAAGAAAATAGGGAGTGTAAGTTTTAAGTTCAAGGTTTCGCGGCTCCCCATTCCCTCCACTCCTTACAGACAGGCCCCCATTACAGACCTTAGCGACCAGGTTTAAAATAATGGATATACATTTACATATATCTATATGACAGCTTCATTCGCCATAAAATTCAATGCTTCTTATAATAAAAATGTAAAATTAAAGAAAAAAGCAGTGTTAAAAATGAAAAATATTGAGCGAATGGCAACAAAAAAGACGAAAACTAAGGGCGCCTGTCAAAAAATTAAAAAATTCGTGATTTTATACTATCTATATTGCATATTAGTACAATGAAGCTGAAGAATATACGTGAGTTCCACATTTCAGCCTCAAAGGAGCTGCGCTAACAAGCTTTTTTCTTCAATAAATCGTTGAAGCACATAGAACGTGCTATTCCACCTCGTTTTTACATCAAAAATTACTTGTCGCTCAATAAAACCTAAAAAAATTCAGTTCCGTGACTATTTAAAATAAAATGAAATCTGACAAGGGAACATCCCCAACTGTCCAATCGCTTTTCGCTTGGTTCTATTGCCATTCGATCAGTCTTAGTGAGTAGTGAAAAAGCCTATTTTGGTTTGATTTTCTGATCTTCTATTATTGACTTATGGACATTTTACTGGATTTTTGGCCTATGTGCATGAGATTCCATAAGAACCTGAATGATTGAATTTCGAGCTGAAATTTTGTACATAGACAGCTCTCATAGTCATTAGAAAATTCCCAAAGTTTGAACCCGGACAAACGTACCCTTACCCAGATATCAGCTTGTGTCGAAAATATCCCTGTTTTGAAACATAGTCGCAAAGAGACTTTTTTTTTAAAATCTGAGTATCTCGATAACGATGCATTCGTTCCGGCTCAAACTTTGGGAATTTTCTAATGACTATGAGAGCTGTCTATGTACAAAATTTCAGCTCGAAATTCAATCATTCAGGTTCTTATGGAATCTCATGCACATAGGCCAAAAATCCAGTAAAATGTCCATAAGTCAATAATAGAAGATCAGAAAATCAAACCAAAATAGGCTTTTTCACTACTCACTAAGACTGATCGAATGGCAATAGAACCAAGCGAAAAGCGATTGGACAGTTGGGGATATTTCCTCGTGAGTTTTTCTACCAAATGATTTTTGATATTTGTTTAGCATTTCAATTGCTAAATGAGTTTCTCTAGTGAACGTGACAATATATCGCACTGTTGCCAGCATATTCTTTACTTCATGAAGTTTTCGAACAACATCATGCACAGACAAATTAATAAGATGATCAGTACAACCAATTCAACCTATCGAGAAATTATTAAATATCAAAAGTTTAAGAATAGAAATAAAATCATACCTTTTCCAAAATCTTTCCCAACCTTTCTCATGGTATTATATGTATCAGAAAGTAAACAAACAATTTTCTCACTGATTGACCAGTCGATACATATATTATTTAATCGTTCGACTATCCGTTCAGCTGTATGATTTCAGGAAAATTCTCTAGTTTCCGGCGCGAAATTTTTAATTTTGTTATTTTTCAAATCAATAAAATGGACCGTAACAGTCATATAAGCTTGATTAGCTTGAGATGTCCAGATATCTGTTGTTAAACAAATACCTAAAATATCAGAAAAAAACAGTCTGTAAATCAGTATGAATATAGAATGACCTACCAGGTGCTAATTGTAATTCATTATAAACATTTTGTCGAATTTCAGAATACATATCTTGAAAAATTCCTTGTAGTTGAGGACTTTCGACAATTGATAAAGGAAGATAATTATAAATGATAAAATCTGCAATTAATTTAGTTAAATATACAGATCGTTCACTTGATAATGGTAATCTTGGTGTTGATTCACGTGTTCGCATTTGTGATTTTGATTTCATCGATTTATTTATATTCTGATATTCAGAATTATGTTGAGTTTGTATGTGATATAATCAATTCGAAGTAGACGTTGATTTACAAACAATGGTGGATGAATACAAGACGCACTCAACATGCAATTCATCATGATTGATCACATTAAAATACCTCCAGACCAAACTTCTTTTTGGCTTAAGAATTTGTCCAGGTGTAGTTGATAAAGGTATGATGAGGTAGATATTGCTGCATTTGTTGATGATGGTGATTTTAATATTGAATTAGTTACTGATAAAGATGAAGAATCTGTATTCATTGATGTTAAATGAGATTTATTTATATCTGAGTTTACCAATGGTAAAGAAAATAACATGATTCTATAGAAATATGCATATTTTTCTAGAAGTAAAAACGGAAGTCTTATGTAAACTGTAATCTGAAAAAGTTCTCATAAACAGTATAATGTTTAAAGAAATATATGTTTGTTTACTTGAATAATCCTTCGCGTTAATAATATAGTTGATGGAGTAAAGTATGGAAGTCAATCATTTGTTGCGTCATACTACTGTACAAAAATTATGTTATGATAATTTAATCTTAGTCGTAGATAAGATTTAAACTTCTGTCCACAATGATTCCAATGTACGTTTTTAAACTTTTGAAAATTATCAAACAAGAAAAGAATTTTTAGAGGTTGAGAGGGGTAAACCTAGCTCTGAATGCCCAGAGCTGGGCAAGTCAGATATTTTCCAAGGCACGAGCGGAATCAAATCGGTAAGACGACTCTTAAAGTCAAGTGAAGACAAATCTAACTTGACTTAGTCGTGAGGCATTTTTGACTTGACTTACCCAGCTCTGAAACCAACGTTTCTGTATATAAATAAAGCGAAATTTTTAATCTCAGTCAAAAGGTCACTCTCAATATTGAAATGGCACATAAGAAATTTGCAGAAAATATACATAACAATTTCTTTTCTTTCTCTTTTTTATTTCTGTCTGCTCTGAATATTCCACTTGGACGAAATCAAAATGTCGTCCAAGTGGAATATTCAGAGCAGACAGAAACAAAAAAGAGAAAGAAAAACAAATTGTTTTATACAATATCTGTAAATTTCTTATGAGCCATTTCAATATTGAAAGTGACGTCTTGACTGGGGTTAAAAATTCACATTATTTTTTTTATGTCTGATAAATAATTGATGAATTAGTTTACTTAGTCATTAGTTTATGGATAAACTATCGTATCATTTCTCTTCAATAAAAATTCGAAAAACCGTACTCTTTAGACGATTAATGTGGTGGAAATTAGAAACTAGTCAGAAGATCAGAAAAAATTTTTCTCAAGACCAAGTCAAGTCAAGCGAGGCTTGACTTGACTTGACTTGGTCTTGAGGCATTTTCGACTTGACTTGCCCAGCTCTGGGAATGCCCCTAATTTTCGTTAATTTCTGAATGTATAGATTGAAATATTCAATGAAAAGTTTTTTCATTACATTAAAAGCGATTATTACGTTATTCCGTGTCAGGCGTAATAAATCTGTATTTTGTTATAGTCGTTTGGTTTATCCTTTGTATTCAATGGTTATTACGTGATACCGCATCTGATCGCCTTACGAGAAGGAAGAAAAAAATAACTTACAACAAAACGAAAGAAACACATATATCAACTTGCGTATATCCGGGAGAGCAGAAAAAATTGACGGTATAACGTAGTGCTTTTTTTCTTTCTTTCCTTCGTTCGCTATAATTAAAATATCATTTCGCAATATTCGAAGTTGTTTCGGCCCATCACTACTTGAGGAGCGATAATATTCTTTCGATTGGTTTCTTCTAGTCGACAATGCGAAGCTTCAATGAGTATTGCGTAGTCGATACGTTTTGGAAGAGTCGAATGTGAGTATCTGGTAGGATGCAGTTTACGATTAATCGGAATCCGATGGCTGTCAAGGGGTTCGAGATTTAAAACAGAACGAACAAAAAATATATTCCTCAAATTTTCTACCGCTCGTGAAGCAACCGGATGCTTCTCACAACAGGCTTGGAAAATGCTCTTTTTTTAATTATTCAATATTGTAAACATAAGGAAGAAACAAAAAATAGTGTTTACATTTAAAAAAAGCTTATATACGTTTTTATCATAATTATTTTTACAATTATTCATCGTTAGATCACATATTGGTATATGGTCTTTCTTAATGATATCAGTCACATGCCGATATTTCTCTAATTCATCTCTTGCTAACAAACAAAACTTTATCAATTTCAACTAACTGAATTCGTATCAATTCAAATAGGCCGTGAAATATAAGTGATGTATAAGCAATAATGGCTCGATCATATTCTATTCGACACTTTAATAAACATCTAAGGTGTATTTTTCTTTTTCTAACTATTAGCAGCTTACTATTTATGACTCATACAAAAGCCCGACGAAAACGCGAAAAAAGTCCTAGACAACTAGACTCTTCCTCTGTGTCATTTGCGTTCGATAGAAGAACACAGCATGGTATTTTACGATACTTTGAATCGAAAGAACATTTAATGAAACGATCACCTTTCAAGAGTGTAATTCCTAACGGATTTCAGAAGCCACGTAGCAAAACGTCCTTTTTAATCTACGAACACACCAGACATCGTCAATTCTGCAAAAGTAAAAATAGTGCATTGGTTTACATATCAACGTGCCCCTTTCGAAATTGTCACTTTACATGCAATTCTTCTTTGGTTTATACAGCTGATGCTATATTGATGCTGTATAGCAATTTAAATTACAATGGATTAGCCGATCTAAGGGTATATAGAGTGCCAAATCAAATATGGTTGCTATGGCACGATGAACCCTATCCACCGTCACCGATCTATAATAAATATCTATTTAACTGGACAATTAGTTATCGTTTGGATTCAGAAGTTAGTATCGCAACTTATGGAATTACCTTTGTGAGAAATGAGACGATGAGTCAGGCAGCATTCACAAAATGGATTAATGAAAATCACATAAAAAGACGCAACGAAGCTCTTTGGTAAGTAATATGATTATTTTGATAGCATCGTAAAAACCAATAGTATAATTTACTGAGTAATTTAAGGTTCGTCGGTAATTGCAATTCAAAGAAACGGCTACAGTACTATGAACAACTCAAAAAATATTTTCCCATCTCTGCCTTTGGAAAATGTGTCACCAATCAAACAAGCGATTCTTATATGTGTGCTCGTCGTTCTCAATGTGAACTTGAAAAACTTTCTACGTCAAAGTTTTACTTAGCATTTGAATCGACTACATTGAGACGCGATTATATTACTGAGAAGTTTTGGCGATCATTATCTCATGGCACAATACCTATTGTTTTTGGTCCAAAACGTCGAAGTTATGAACGAATTGCGCCTCCTAATTCATTTATTTATGCAAAAGATTATAGTGATCCTCAAACGCTTGCTAAGCATTTGAAGGACGTGGGAGCAAATCAGAATGAGTATGAAAAGTATCATAAATGGAGAATGAAGTATGAAACACGATATTTAGGTCGCGATTTGGAACCAGTTCGTTTTTGTGAATTATGTTATAAACTGAACACGTATAGAGATCGTATTTGGTATACTGACGTACATAAATACTTTTTAGAAACAGATTAATGATTAAAATTGTGAAAAAAGATACTATTTTATATCACGTGTGCCTAACATGATATCTTTGTATAGTTTAACACATTGAGGGTATGGGTATGGATGCTGATATGGGTTTTCGTGAGAAAAACAGATGAACCTACACCTTTGAGGGTGTGGGTGTGTGTGAATAGAAGACCCACACCCACACCCATACGACACCCACACCGAACCCACACCCAACCCCGCACCCCCACACCCTTCTGGTATACACATGGATTTCATGAACATGTGTGCTCAGAAAAAAATCTTTCTGTTTAAAGCCTTTCGAAACGTGCTGTACGTCTTCAATCTCTGTCATACAGATGAAAGAAACAATGCTTGGTGTCATAAATAGTGACGTCGATTGCATTTCTTTCTGTTCGATTCTTCCACGCATTATTTGCTCCATCTCTTTCTTGTATGAGTAAACAGGTAAATGGGCTTGATCGAAATCGATTTTGTTTTGTTTCTTTTTGGTGACATGCGTATCGACACTGTAAAAAGTATAAAAATAGAACTCATTTGTTGGCAAGTGTTCATATCAAGCTTCTTCATTAATGGATTATTATGTGACTAACTGGCAACACAGAAAACGTTCTACACCATCCAATGTTTTACTTTATCCTCATTCTGCCTTCCACTAAACAAGCACAATATAGTCAAAAGGTAAAAATTCACCATGACTCGGAAACAAAAATGAGTCAATGCGTTGTCAACACCGTTTTTTTGTCATATCCTATATAAGCAAAGCATCTCCAGAAGAGAAATTATTCAAGTCTCAAGTTTTCTTCCATATAGCTTACACTACACTAGAAAAAAGTAAGTTATTACTTGATCGTTAGTGAAATTTGTTACTGCCCTTTTAATTTAGGACGAAAAAAAAAGAATGAAGAAGATATTGACAACCACATGGCTTTTCTTTATGTTGATGGTTTCTTTCGATTCACTTCGAGGTGCTGCGATTGGGGATATGGATGATACTTCTGGAATTGATCCAACAGACCATGAAGAAACGACGACACCAGAACACCCAATGTGCTGTGGTTTCTGTAGCCATGGATACAATACAAACTGTGGCTGTACATGCTCGGGTCACGTAGGTTTTTGCTGTCAGTGAACATAATAAAAACGTTCTATTGATATCGAGATACAATTTAATCTCAAAAAAAATTTTCGCATCCTAGAACATTTTATTATCTTTTTGTTTCAAGTTTTTTGAAAATAAATGAAAAAAGTTCATAATGATTGTAGCTTTCATGGTTCCGAAACTCATTTGACTTGGCATGCTTGTTAGAGATTAATATCTCTTGATTGTTTATTTCGGATCGTGCAGAAAATGTTAACAATCCCAATCAACTACTAATGAGAGTTAACCAGATCTACTCGTTGGTGCTTCTTCATGTAAAACAGTTTTTCGGTTCAACAAAGCAACATCCTCTGTATGAAAATGAGTATTGAATGATTAAAGTATTTGCCCACTATGATAGTCGGACTAATATTTTCTCTATTCCATAGATATAACTAGACATGAACAAGAAACAGTCATAAGATATGACAAATAAACTGATAAAATGCCTAAAACTGTTCGAAAATTACTGGAAAAACGGATATTTCTATTTTTTCTTCATTATTTAATGAGTCATAAAAAAAAATGGACAATATTTCTAAAACTTTAAAAGTTAATCTTTCTGTCATTGCGTGGCAACATCAGACACAAGCTAATGTGACTGTTTAATTCTTGTTCACAAGAAAAAAATCGATTACGTTGACGATGAATTCGTTCGATGAATAGGCTCGAAATTGGCATCATTCTGCTCTTGTGAAACGAAAGTTTCTATTGCGAGATTCGCATTTGTAGAAAACTTATTTGAGCTGGCAGTATTGATCCCAAGGAGGAAAAGGCGGATTGTGGTATCCCGGTATCCTCTGTATCACCGTCGTATCCTCCGTATCCCCATTGTATCCTGTGTATCCTGATCGTATCGCGGATACGAGGATCCCTCATATTCGAGATACGATTAGGATACCGCGAGGATACGGAGGATACAATGGGGATACGTAGGGTATAATGAAAATACGAAGGATATAATGGATTACAGAGAATATGATAGAAATACGAAGGAAATGAAAAGGATACCAAGAATACCATGATCCGCTTTTTCTTCTTGATGAAAAATGATGGCGTGGAATATACTGAAGACGATAAGCAGGAACTACGGCTTTTTGTGCTATAACATTTGACTCAGTCGACGATTTTGCGCCTATTAAGAGAGCGCTCAATGGGTAGAATCGTTAGACACTAGAAGAAGAAGAATACCCCACCTTTCGGCTACCTTGCGATATAGGGTTCTGTCCGAATACTGTTTCGAAAGCCCGATATTTTTTCTAAATCTATTACTAAATGTAGCTCTGGACAGAAGGCCGGCCTGACTCAGAGTTTTCCTCGCTTAATTACTAAAGCTCCCCGTACATACTGACTAACCACATACTAGCCACAAGAGCTTTTTTAGTTTATGTCAACGCGTAGTCAGTTTGTTATCGGATGGGTGATCCGAGACAATGCAGTCGTTATTGACTTGTCCAAGATCATTCTATGACTGACAGGGCCGAGGTTTGAACACAGTACTTTATGGGTATGTGTCAATCATCTTAACGATTCAGCCATAGCGGGTTTCGTTAGACACTAACTAATTAATATTGTTATTTTTCTGAGTGTAAATAATTACACAACATAAAATGATATACTCAATATCCAAATATTTGACGAAGTACATGTCAAACTCTTCATAATCGATAACATTTATTTGTTAGAATTGAGTAGTCAGTATTCTCACTGAATAGATCGTACATATTTTATATTTTCTTCAATATGTCAGATTATTTCCTGTGTATCCTCCTTGTATCCTGTGTATCCCCGATGTATCCTCTGTATCCCGATCGTATTCTCTGTATCCCGATCGTATCCTCTGTATCCTCATCGTATCCTCCGTATCCTGTGTATCCTGACTGTATCAGAGATAGACGGAACCCGCTTTTCCCCCCTTGATTGGTCCTCATGAGGAGTCCTTTTGTCATCAGAAACAACGAAAAAATATGTAACATTTATTTAAAACAAAATTTATATTATGCTCAACTTTAATTGAAGTCTAGTAAAATCTAGAAAGTTGTAGAGTTTGAGAATGTTCTAAATTGAAATCTAGTTTGTCTTGGCAAGCTCCGATCGACTAAAAAGAATCTTTAAGCTAATGTCTTATGAGTAACATATTTTATCGATGTAAAAAAAAAGAGGCAAAGCCTATTGAAAATGGCAATCACTATAGTTGAGAAACTTTGCAGGTGATTCATTTTTTACACATTAAATGTTAAATGGTGATTCTTTTTCAAATTTGTATTTTCAATTTTTCAATGAGATGCCCATTTTCCTTTTTTTCAAAACAATTTGATGTTGAAAGATCTTTTTTTTTTCTTAACATATCTACTAAAGATGAAAGTGGTGTTGATTGTGACAATGAGCTTAATGTTGTCAATTACATTTTGGATCCCAAGCATTTGTTTTGGAATTTTTAAAATTCGAAATTTTAAAATTCGAAATTTTAATCTTTCGAGATATCGCTACATCATAAAAAAATTCTTGTGAAACTAATACGAAATTCATGAATATGACTGGTGGATTACTCATGCAATCGTTTGTTTACATATTCCATATTGAATTATTGTATCCCATCTCTTAATATTCATTTGATTGCCAACTATTTTAAATCAATATGAATAAAGGACAGTTCATGTTATTTGCACATACCCATTTCGCTTTCGAACAAAATCCTTAGTATTCAATTATTTAAATTGTGTATGCCTACGTCGACATCTGGCACGCTTTCATTCGTTGTGCGTTCTCTTTGAATGGTTCTCACGTCATGTAAATCATCCATCTTGTTTGAGGTGTCTCCAAGGTAAACGCAAGTAAAATGTCAATGTTTAAATTGTGATTTGACAGACATATTTAATCAATCCATTATTGTAAACAAAATCTACCCTAACTATTGTTTTTCGTACAAGCATGGAACCGTCCTATCACATGGATGTGTTATGCGGGTGATATCAAGAACTTCCAGAAGTTCGGTCAAAAACCGTGCGTGTCTTTGTTAGCTCGACATTTTCAAGTGAGGAATTGTAGGGTATGGTTGTGAGTGTCGTTTCTGTTAAGGATAGATACACCCGCACCCATTCCTGATAATCACTAGAAGAAAAAAGTATGAAACAGAAGTTCATTTTTGGCAAGTGATCTAATTTGACATTATTTTTATAACGAGAAGGCCATAATTTGTAAATCCCTAATTCATATTTTCTACGTTTTATTTTGTCAAGGGACGTATTCGATAAAATATTCTCGTAAAATGATCGTTCGAATGTTCTCGATACTATATAAGATACATGAATTTCGCCAAGAGATAACCGAGAAACGTGCTTTCAGTAGGTTTTTCAATGTTTTCAAATTTCTGAATATGTAAGAGTGTTGAGAAAGCAGTCACTGAAAATGTTTGATGTTGGTCGACTTTTTAATCGCAAACTGAAAGAAGACGTTTGAAACTTTATTAAAATTCAGAACCTAAACATGCATCATTCAGAGAAACTGTTTCACATTTACTTTCGTTAGTTGTCTCTGTCTCTTCATTTGAATTATCTTCAATGATTGATGTATCCTGTCAATACAAAACCATTATTGCTTGCATTTGATCCATAATCAAATATAAATCTTTAATACGACAAGTAGGTTCACTAATTAGATCACGAATACAGAGTAATGAATTAATAAGTGAATTTTCATTAGTATGAAAATGGTTTATTTTCTCCAATCCATTGTAAATGATTTGTTACTCGATAATAATAATGTTGTACAGAATATAAATCCCAATCTTGTTTGAAATATAATATTACAATCTTTAAACATAAAAGACCATGTTCGGTATCATTATTATAGACAAAGGTTG